AGCCCACAGAGGACACACATAGAAACAAAGGAAGACCTTGTCACTGTCAAAAATCGTAGTCCCCCCACAACACAGCCAGTTTGTTTCCCAGAAACATAGTTCATCATCAGTGTTAAGCTAAGCAGACCATATAGCAGAGCAGTCTTAGAGAATACTCATTCTAGGGGAGCCTTTGTGGGTCAACATATACATTGGAGAAGCCATTAGAACGACCACAAATACAAACAGAAAAGGGTTCAGGGTAACTGCAGGATGCCGGAAGATTTCTGACCCGATTTTCCCCCACCATCTAATTTTGCTTGACATTTAAAAGGCTTCATAACGTTTCTTTATGACCTCTGCAGGGTTCCAAGTCCACTCCCATCCCCCACGAGTACATTTGGTCCTGCAGGAGCTCACATGGCTGGCTGAAAAATCCCCATATACGTAAGGCCAGCGAACCTGTCTTATTAGGTTTAGGATGATGCATGTCAGTAAGATGACACTGTTCCCTCTATGGTTTTCAAACTGCAATTTGCTTTTTGACTGCCCAAGTTGACTAGATGGAAAATGGCAGATCCCAACAGTGCACTGCGGGAAAATGATTTTGAGGCCGAGCTCACAGAACAGGCTGGAGTACATAGGCAGAACAGCACAATTCAATTAGGATGTGTACTACAACACACCGCTCCTAACTGCTGTGGAGCCGCAAGCCAAACTGTAATCATGAAAGGTTTTATAAGCCATCATTCTCCCCTTTAGTCAGGCTGGGCTGCTGAGAATACCTCCACGACCTCCGGAGAATTGGGATTATAATCAGGAACCGCTCACTGTATATATCATGCCAGTTCTGCATCCCCAGCCTTTCAAAGTTAACAAGGCTGCATCCCACTCGGGGGAGCGGTGAGTCCTCAGCACTGACATTTGTGAGATATTGCTTGGAACAAAGCCCAGGAGGCACTTGTACAGTTAATAGCAGAGGTTAAGCCCACCGTCCACTCTGACACTGGCTGGCAGAGTTAGTGAGGGAAGCTGTTGTGAAAGCAAAGTTTCGGGAAAGCGATGGTACAACTTGGCTATTACTAAAACAAATATGGTTTCTGTTTACAGCCAAGAAAGAAATGTTTTCTTCTCAAATACTCAACAAACATTCAAAAACAGCATCTGATATTTACAGTTCATATTAGATTTTTAGTACAGAAAAATGGTAGATGCCAAGAGTCCTTTGGAACGAACCTCATTAATATTATGACTTTGGAAAAGAGTATGCAAAGAGTTCTAAATAAAGATGAAGCCACACAGTCAAGATGCAGTTAAACAGAAACACCCCTTACCATGTTTGAATACTCCAATTAAGAGGGATTTATCTGCTTCTCTATCCCACCAATCTGCAGGAACTTCTGCATGGAAAGGCTCGGGGATCCACACGTCTGCTTCACTGGAAAGATAGCCATGTAAGCACTTTTAAAATATGAGTATTTGGAATGAACCCTAGTCCCATGTGGTGAACACACGCTCATGGGCCCTTTCTTTAACATCTTACATGGTGGGGAAGAACTGGCAAAGGTGAAACAAAAGGGCAGTGACAGTAGCCAGAAGAGAGCCTCATCACATGGTATCTATCCCACCTCAGATCAGCAGCCATTATTTCTCACCCTTATACGCAAGTACACACAAATGGCCCTGTCCACGTTCTCATCACATCCCCAAGCCCAGAAGACAATAAGGAGGTGAGCTACTGAGGCTGTGAGGGTTCTTAACACATCCCATGGAGTGTCCCACCCACCTGGGTTAGCTTGTGGAGGGCCAGAACAAATGTGCACTTGCACCAACCTTGAGTCCGCACCCTCGAGGATCTTATCTGCTTGGTCGCCTATCACTTCTTGTCTTAGGTAGTACAGCATGCGGACACGCAGCAGGACCCTGGAGAGGAAGACAGAGGGGGGAAAAAGTTCTTAACTTCAGTGCTGTTTGCCAACAGTGGCTTTTGGCAGCTGCTGCTGTTCATCCATCATCCTGCCAAGGCTGATTAGCCATGCTGTATGGTAGGCTTGAAGCGTGACAGATGGTGGCACATAATCACCTCTGTGTGGTGCTTTCTGCTGGCTTCCAACAGGCCTGCCTGGCAACCGCTCACGCTGCACAGAGAGGGAGCGAGCTCAGCCCAGCCCAGGCGCACTTCATTTAGTTCTACCTAGTGCAGCTTGTGAAGTTTAGACACGTACCCTACCACTGCCTCTGAAGTATTGAAGCAAGTTTGTAAACAACCGAGCAGATGGCTTTCAGTAACTGTTCTGCTTCATTATCTCATAAAATTTCCTCAGCTGCTGCCTTAATACCATTTTTGGAAGCACATCAGAAGTTGTAGGAATAAACGAGATATAAAATCTGGTTTTACTACCTTACAATAAACCCTCAATATGGAATGTCAGGTTTTTCAGATTACACAACTTTGCTTCCGAGAAAGGAAGATGGTGATGAGGGTGGGCAGGAGGTGGGTCCTTATCCTACTCAGGGAATATTAAACACTTCTATTACTTCTAACTTATATCATCCAGGGACCTAAGTTGTGGTTTAAAACTAATAAACACTACCAGATTAAAATGTATCTAGCTCATTGACACTCATTTTTTTTATGAACAAGCACTGAAAACCCTTGACATTGTTAGGGCACCAGATTGTCTATCTTGCTTGTGTTTCCATTGCTAAAGTGTGATTTTTTTTATTTTATTTTATTTTAAGTAACACTCATCTGGTATATTTCACAGGTAATCTCTCTACTCCAAACTCAGTCCTCAACAAGACAGCCCGTATGTGCTTTTGGGATTGACACCTGAAGATGACCCTCTTGGTGGAGGTTGATTTCTTCCAGTGTTATTTCCCTAGCTGGATAAGCCTGCCACATATTTGCATAACATCCCTGTACCAACGTTTCTCATTTATACACACTGGCTCATTTGGTCTTGATAATAACCCTGTGATGAAATGGGGCAAGTTCTCATTTCCACACTACAGATGTGAACACTGTTGGTAACAGAGGACAAATTATAAATCCAAGGTCACAGAGACACCTTGAGCACAAGCACTTAGAACTAGATCTCCCAAGATGTGGTGACTTGCCTCTAAAACATCAAAATGACAAGTAGGGAGGGGCAGTTTTACTAAAACGGACTACTCCTGACCAGGCATCAGTAGCCGCACTGTGAACCACCTACCCTAGGAGTCCATTCATGGCCAACGCGGGTTTTGGATGGGCTGCAAGGCTGAAAACATCCAAATGTATGCCAGGATAGGCAGTTGCTATGGGGAATGCCTTTTCATTTTTCAATTTTCTTTCTCTTGTTAATTCAGTGTAATCTCAAAGACTGACTTTGCCATACTGAACCAACAAAGGAAAACTGACAGTGTGGTTAGCAGGGCTTTCCTTCGGGTTAAAGAATCTTCAGGCCAGTGTCTTCTTACACCGGATGTTCATAAAGGGTAGTTCCAGTGGAAATCCCCTCTACCTGTGGCTGGACTCTTCACTTGACTCAAAGGCAGGGAGCCTGATGCTTTCTTTTCCTTTTAGTAGAAGACACAGACTTCCATTTGGGGTTTATAGTGTGGAGCAGTCTATAAACTGCTGTGAACATTGCCTTATTTCTCTATAGGGAAAGCAAGGAAGGAAAAGGATGGCCAGGACACAGCTCCAAAGCCCCCAGGCCTTGTCTATATTCTCTCACACATCCTGATAGAGAGAGTAGCCCAAGGCCAAGGACTGCACACAGGATTTCCTAACCAGCCCCTCGGCTCCTTTCACCTGTCTACTCTCACAGTCTTCAAGAGGTGAGTTATTTTCCCAGGATGCCCTTCAACAGGGTCTCATTTTCTACCTACCACTAATATGTCCTCACTTGGACAAGAGTTAATCTCAAGGCATGCTCTACAGGCAAAGGACAATGGGACACTCTCCACTCTAGAGAAAAGCTAGAATGTATCAACAGTGTTCTTCTGAAACTAAATGAAAGACACAAAGAGCCCCAATTTCATCACATGTCCTAATTGGGGAGAGCTCCCTATGGAAGCTTACTACTTAGGAAGCTTGCTACTGACAGGAGAACAGAAATCAAAAATCACCACAGTCACACTGTCATCTGGGAGAAGGAGCAACTGTACTCACATTAAACCATTTACCTTCCTCTGTTTCAATGCAGAATTCAGAAGGCGAATGATCCAAAGTCTCAATAAACTATACAGACACAGACATTTTCGAAGAGTTATGGTGACTAGGCTACAATTTTAGCAAGAAATACCATGCTACTTACTACAGCAACAAGTCTGAAAGGCACAAAAGGCTTTGAAAGACCACTGGGCACTTTTCAAGAGCCTCTAGGTGAAGAGGCAGACTTCTGTGGTCAGGTAGATAAGGGACTACAGGGATGACAGGAAGTGTATCACTAAATCACACTCCGTTCTAAACCAAGAATCCCTAGGTAAGTTGCCCTGGCTGGAGAACAGAACAGCTGCCTAGAAGACATATAGGTGCCTGCTGCAGTCGTAGGCACTCAGGGGGCTGAGGCAGGAGTTGTTCTGTGAGTTTGAGCCATTTGAGCCTACACAGCAAGAGTGATATAACTAAAGCAAAGCACTATGTAAATTCCCTAGTGTCCCCAGTGGAGTCACATAAAATGAACCACACCTGTCTGTCTACATATTGGCCCCAAACTAGTCATCTGCAACCCCAGGGCAACACCGCTTATGACAGGTAAATGTGTAAACAATCCAAATGTCCACCAGTGGATGAAAGGACAAAGTGTGACATACACATAATGGAATAGTATTCATCTGTCAAAAGGATCCTGACACTACCTACAACATGGATGAATCTTGAGCATGGAAACAAATGAAACTGCCAGATAGAGGGGGGAAATACTATGTATAGAGAAGATAAATATGGACAATTGAATAGGACCTGGCTGCCAGGCAGCTGAAGGAGCTGAAGGCAGGGAAAGGAGGAGCTCTTGCTTAAGAGGTACAGAGTGCCTGTTGAGAGTGATGATTAAGTGTCTGGCTTAGATGATGGGGATGAGTACAGGGCACTATGGATGCAACACATTGCTTACTTCCAAATGGGTTCAATTGG